ATAACACAAAATTCTAGTAGCGATTAACTGCCAGTCATGACTGACATTTTAAATAAAATAATATGATTAACAATTTACAGAAAAATGGACAGTTCTTGTTTGAAAAATATAACTTTATGTTGTGATTTTCGCAGGAATCACTTAATTCTTAAGCGACATGAAAAATTTATGTATTTGAAATTATGGTGTTCAAGATCAAGCCTTAACTAAAAATGCCAATAACCAGAATTTGAGTAAATTCATGGGAAAAAATAGAGGTGAGCATGCTCAGTGATTGATTGAAAATAATATTATAGATACTATTCGATTCAATAATGATAATATAGGTGTGTCGGTATATGATATGAAGGTGTGTCGAATAATTTTATTCAGCTGAGCTTACGTTTTTCTTCTTCGAACAATCATCAATATTTTTTTGTATAATTTTTTCTAAGTTCGATTTCGTTAATTCTTTAAGTGTCTCGTTAAGTAATTTATTTTCTTCCTTCAAATTGAGAATTTTTTGTGCGTGATCTGCGTTCTGTTTGTTGCCTATTTCCACCTTTAATGAGTAGAAATGTATTTCATCAACAGTATCCGCAATAAATAAACGTACATGGGCGTTCTCACGGGGGGGGATATGGGGGATAGATCCCCCCCCAAGGATCTTTATTTTCTTACATTTTAGTAATACACGTTTTGTCTACTTTTGATATTATATGTTTGTGAATTGTGACAAGTTATTATTATTATTTTTTTTTTTTTTTGATATTTTTTCTTTATCATGATTATTGATATGTTATGATATTATGATAATAATAACAACACAGTGATAACAACTTACAAACATATTATCATTATGTGCATTATGCTATTATGCTATTTATACTCTATGTGTTAAGCCGGGTCCACACGATGATAGTAAAACGCGATAGTTGCTATCATGAACTACTACACAGGACTGGACACTATTGGCAGGAGGAGAGTAGGGGGTCGTCCACAAAGTTGTACATATTCGGTACACATGCGACACAGCGCCATCTGTGAGATAAGAAATATTTTGTTATATAAAATACCGCCTTAGTAGTTCATGCTTAAACTGTTCACTCTTTAAGCAGTAATTATTTTCTGATAATATTCTATAAATAGTATCATTATTATCTTGAACTGTGTTATTAATAATTGTTTTTCAAAAATTAAAAAGTAAATTTATTATCAGTTATTATCACTAATATCACTATTCTTTAGTGTTATCCTATAAAAAACGTAGTTCGTACTACTAACAGGCAGAGTGCAGTTACATCGCATGTGTACGAACCCTGTACAACTTTGTGTCCGTGATTTTCTCTGTAGTGTCCAGTCCTGTGTAGTAGTTCATGGTTGCTATCGCGATAGACTGCAATAGTTGACTATCATAGATGGGATTATCCATACAATGGTAAACGAGTGATAGTAAACTTCGATAGTGAAATAATTAATAAATAATATTATAAATAAATGATTATAGAAAAACTTATAAAACGTATTATGTCTTAAATTATAATATTAATAACCTATTCTTAATAATAGTAATTGTATTTCTTTTGTTGAAAATGTCCTCGAATGAAACTATTTGTGCTGTATTACGCGTAGTTGAGGAGATAATAAAATTAAAAAGGCATAAAAAATCTAAAAAAAAAAAAATATGGGTTAAAGATTGGATAAAACGAAGAAATAATCTAGGAGCATCGAATACATTGTTAAAAGAGTTAGCTGTTGAAGACCCGAGAAATTATTTCAATTTTCTTAGAATAAATGAATCAATGTTCAATATTTTACTAGGAAAGGTAATGACAACAAAACTTTTATTATATTTATGAAAAGTAATTGACATATAATTTACCTATGTTCTTTTGCAGGTTAAAGACCAAATTTCAAAACAAGATACAGCTATGAGAGAGGCATTAACACCGAGAATTAAATTAGAAATAGCATTAAGATTTCTAGCAACCGGAGACTCATATACATCTCTACAATATTTATACAGGGTTTCAAAATCTGCTATTAGTGAATTTATGCCTGATGTTTTCGATGCAATATTTGCAGGATTAAAAGAATTTATCCAGGTAGAAAAATACATGTTTATTAATTTTCACCATACACTTTAAAGTATAATAGCATAATTTCCTTTCATTTATTTTTGACAGATGGTAATATTAACAAATAAATAGTACCATTAATAATAAGATAAAATGATATAATAATAGTATAAAACAAATAGCTAAAATTATTATATAACTAACCTTTTTTATATAAATTATCATTAGGTATTTGATTTTTTTTTTTAAATTTAAACATAAACATTTAGTCTTTCATTAGATTAAGAACTTAATAATAATAATAGTTAACTGTGTAATAATAGTACAATATAATAATAATTTCCTTTAAACACATATGGTAATATTAACAAATAATAGTAATTAATATTAAGATAAAATGATATAATAATAGTATAAAACAAATAGCTAAAATTATTATATAACTAAACTTTTTTATATAAATTATCATTAGGTATTTGATTTTTTTTTAAAAATTTAAACATAAACATTTAGTCTTTCATTAGATTAAGAACTTAATAATAATAATAGTTAACTGTGTAATAATAGTACAATATAATAATAATTTCCTTTAAACACATATGGTAATATTAACAAATAATAGTAATTAATATTAAGATAAAATGATATAATAATAGTATAAAACAAATAGCTAAAATTATTATATAACTAAACTTTTTTATATAAATTATCATTAGGTATTTGATTTTTTTTTAAAAATTTAAACATAAACATTTAGTCTTTCATTAGATTAAGAACTTAATAATAATAATAATAGTTAACTGTGTAATAAATAATAATTATTATTTCCTTTAAACACATATGGTAATATTAACATATAAACAGTATGTCTTAAATTTAACATATTTTATAATTTGTTCTCTATAAATTTATGAAAGATTTTATTAAACCATAAATTATTTCAACTAAAATTCAAAAAAATTCCAGTCTTTGGATACCACAGATTGTTTATAACACATAATACCAAGTTCAATTTTTCCAATTATTATAGAATAGAGTCACATTTGATGGTCTTTCATCTTGTGGTTGATATTCTAAATTTACATACTCATAATCAATATCTTCATTACCCTCACTTAAAATTTCAGTATGATCAGTATGGTCTATTGACATAGATATATCATTAGTGGACATTGAATTATAATCAGGACACTGCAAATTTGGTTGATTCGACATAGCCTTGAGACGTTCTTTAATCAGCAAATTTTGAATTTCGTTTTGTACATTTAGTGCATGTTGTAATGGAAGTTTTTGGAGTTGAGTCCCAACAAGCTTTCCAAATAAAACAAATTCGTTTTCATTTGCTTGTTTAGAACAAACATATTTTAATGCATCAACAGCGTTGTCCAAAGAATCATCAATTTTTGGTTTTTTTTTTGATTTTGTCATCAGTATGTTTTTTTTTTTAATTTTACTTGTGGGCTGTGAAGTATTTGCATCTGAATTTGTATCAACAATATTCTGTCTTAGTTGTTCCAAGTGTTCATTTGATTCTACTACTGAATCTTCAAATTTTTCCTGAGATATGACTTCACTATTCATGAGATTGCCTTTTGGTGGTAATATCTGAAATATATTTATGCATTATTATATATTTTAATATTATCTGATTATTATCTTTATATATATAATTCTACTGTGCGTGTGTTAGTATTCAATAATAGCACTTCATGGCGGGATAGGTAGTAGTGGTTTATGGACTAGTTAACTAGTCGACTAGTAGGCACCAGCTACGCTTTAAACGTCGTCCAGGATTTAAGGTGGAGACATTTGTATAATGAATAATTTTAGACAATAAATATAACTTTTATGTTTTCTGGTTCTGTTCAATGATTTATTTATTATTTTATTTTAGGTTCCAAAAACAAAAAATGATTGGGACAGTATTGTTCATGGTTTCAATTTATCGTGGAATTTTCCGAATTGTTTTGGAGCGATTGACGGAAAACACATTATAATTGAATGTCCAGCGAATTCGGGATCTAATTTTTATAACTACAAAGGCAGTTTTAGTATTGTGCTTTTGGCACTGGTAGATCACAGCTATAATTTTACCTGCATCGATGTTGGTGCTTATGGAAGTGCATCAGATGGTGGTATTTTTAGTAAATGTACACTAAAAAAGGCTATTGAAGAAAATCAATTAAATTTGCCAGATGAAGCTGTGATGTTGGGTGATGAAGCATTTCCATTAACAAAATATCTGATGAAGCCATATCCAAGGCGTAACATTTTAACAAAGAAACAAAAAATATACAATTACAGACATTGTCGGGCTAGGCGGATTGTGGAAAACGGTTTTGGTATTTTGTCAAGCAGATTCAGAGTATTTAGACGACCTCTACGTCTTTTACCAAGTAATGTAGTCAAACTTGTTAAGGCTGCATGTTCTCTCCACAATTGGATCAGAAAAAGTGGTTTAAATCAAACAATAGAAATCATTCAAGATATTGAAGATCTAGAAAATGGTATACTCATCCCTGGACAATGGAGAAAAGAACCACAATCCACTGGAGTCATAAACATAGCAGCAACAAGTCAACGTAATTATTTAAATGAAGCAAAAGACAAAAGAGACAGTTTGGCTGATTATTTTATGGGGGAAGGTGCAGTTACATGGCAGGATCGAATGATTGAATAAGACATTATAAATATATTGAAAAAATATTTTGTTCTTATGTATAAATTAAAAATAATATAATAATATAATTTGCAGATTTTTTTGTAATTCATAATTTGTTATTTATTTTTAAGATTTATAATTCACTTTGGATTAGTCAAATTTTTTTAAAAAGGTTTTCATGCATCATGCATGTTGTAGAATGTTTTTTATAATTTTTTTAGATTTTCAAGTTATTAATATTATTATATTATAATACTTATTGTTAAATAAATATATATTAATTAAAAAAACAAGCAATAATACAAAATACTTGCCAAATTTGTATCTGTTTCATTTTTATTTTGATGAGTTTTTTTTAAAAAACTGTTTGCCAAATCGAACCAAACCAACTTTGGTTTATATATATTATTCAAACCAGACCCTGTTGTCATTGATGATTTGATTTTTGACACTTCTTGATTATAAGTGCATCTGAAAGATAATATTCTAGGACTGTTGTAATCAAGAAATATTAATATATCTACGATCTACCTAGGTCAATGTGGTAGATAGCTTAGTAATTTTATAAAATATCACCTTATACTTCTTATTTTTTGCCTCAACTCTTTCACAGTAGTTATTTTAAACGTCTTGAGAAGATATTCTTCTGCATTATCTCTTTTTGTTCTTAATTTAAAATCATCACTGTCTTTATCCCATAAACATGGTAGCTTCTCATACTCTTCCAAAAAATCAAATATATTGAATTGCTTAGTCATAACGTTAGTTTATAAGTACTTACTGAAGAAATAAAATAAAAAACAACACATAAAATACTTATTTATATGGCAGTCAGCAGAGGACAATTAATATTTAATAGTTGATATAGTCAATTAACAAATTACAATTTTCTAAAAATAAGCTAAAATTGATAACCATTTATAACTACTTTCACGATAGTCCGATTGTATACGTTCATACGGTGATATTTGGTGATAGTAACCACGTCTCTCATGATATCAACTCTCACACTATCAAGCATGCCTGATAGTACGAGAGTCGCTATCGCAATAGTTTGATAGTGACTATCAATCTGTTCACACGGTGACACTCTCATGATAGCAGCTTTCACGATAGCAACTATCGCGTTTTACTATCATCGTGTGGACCCGGCTTTAACCAAAGTGTGGTTCGTTATTATCGTTAATCCGTATTATGTGATATCATTTTTCAGCTGGTTATTTACAATTTGTTAACATAAACGTTTTCGTATTTTTTCAATTAAAAAGTTTACCTTGACACAGATGTTCATATAGTTATTGCTGAACTGAAAATATGGCAGTCAAAGTTAAGGAAAATTGATAAATTTCCTAAAACGGCTATAGATGCATTACGTTTATGTAATTTTGAAATTTTCCCTAACATCTATCAACTTTTCAAAATACTACGCACCTTGCCGGTCTCTACCTCGACTCCAGAAAGAACTTTTTCATGTTTGAAAAGACTAAAGACCTATCTGAGAAACACAATGACTGAAGTAAATAGAAAATTTATTATAACCATATTTAATTTTTTTTGTTATATTATGATTATATTTTCTAGGACCGTCTTAATGGACTAACGTTGTTGGCCATTCATAAAGATGTGCCTGTTGATTCAGAAAAAGTTCTTGACATTATGTCCGAAAAATCGAGAAAAATCAATATTTTAATTTGAATTAAACATAAAATTAATAATCAAAATATATTATTTAAACTGATTTATAAAATTGTTTTATATTTTAAATAAAAAGTAAAATAAAATATCCTATAAATATCCTATAAACTGACCAGTTACAGTAGTAGTTAGTAGTGTAAAACGGTAAAGAGAATGGATAGAGATCATGGACTGAAAGTTGAAAGTTGAAAGTATTGTGTTTTGAAATGTTTGGTAAATTATTATGGTTTTAAAATGATTATTAAAGTATGAATGTTGAAAAGCTTGGTTTTTGGTTCCATTATTTTACACATAATAACACACAATTTGTAAATATTATGACTACGGGGGGTGTGGGGGGCAGAGCCCCCCCACTATTAAATTCAAGTAAATTTTCAGAACCCCCCCCATAGAAAAATCCTGAGAACGCCACTGTAAACGTAGGTACCATACCATGTCTTTGAGATCGAGGACCTCTTTGGTACTAGCCGCTCCGACAGGACATTCAACAGCCAATGATTGTTTTTTCATGTGCGCTGAGAAATCTACACATCGTTTTAACATGATTCTTTTAGCGCTAAAATTGAAATGAACAACAATAATAAATTTATTAATTATTATAAGGTCATCAAATATTAAAACTACACAGAAAAGTCTTAATTTATTATTTTTTAAATCAGCTACATACAAATACTCACATTTGTTCACTTTTATATTTATTCTCCTCGAGATTTTTCAATGCAATACCATAGTTTTTATCCGTGATTACATTTTGTTCTTTAATATCTGTGTATTTCTGTTCGAGTATTTGTTCTTGTTTGGAAAATTCGTGCAACTTATTTAATCTTCCCACTGATATGAAAAAAAAAATGGTATTTCATTGTATACCCGTGTTTTATTCGCACAAAATATAATATTAATATTACGTTTTAAAATTTACGATTTGTATATATATTGAATGAAAAAAAATCGATAATATAATATAATCACAGTTGTACAGTTGTACTAGTTTTGAGCAGAGGATACTTCACCTCCGGCCTATATGGCGTAGTTTTCCACTTCTCACTGGTCGATTTTGTTCCATGTTGTTCCAAGTGAAGAACTACGATAAAGGCGAAGAAAAGAGAGGAGGATGCGTATCAAAATACTGTGATATAATACCTACCTAATTTGTCGTGCTGTAATGTACTACCCACCGTATATAGCAGTAATCGATTTATATTTTCCGGTTTCTCTGATGAATTCATCGTGTTGTTCTTTTAATTTACTTAGGCCTGTTTCTTCCATGGAATCGAATTCCTATACAATTTTTAAGCACGACAGACTTACCTACTGTCATTAAAAACATTCAAATTTCAAACTATCAAAATAAGTGGTCCAAACTTGTTTTAGCTGAGCGATTTCCTACTTTAATTGTTTTTCAAGATTGGTTTTCTCGTCCAAAATCTTTTTCAAATATTCGTAATCATCTTTCAATTTTTTGTTTAAACGATTGATTTTACCTTTAAACTTCTCGTTTTTACTATTGAAATCTTTGATCTCATCATTCAACCTGTGGTACGTAATAAGGGTAATTTCACAATACACCGATTTCAATATTCTACTGACAACTAAATATATAATATTTAACCTAGTAATAATTTTTTCTTTAGCATCAAATTGGATTTCAAAAAATGTCTTGCCCACTTCATTTATTTTAATTTTTTCTTGATCAATTTTATCTTTACTTGTCTGAGGCATAATATCTGTTGGTTGGATTGAAATTTAAAAACAAATTTTTAATAGTTAGTATGTATGCTCCTGAACTACATTATTGATGACCGAACAAAATAAAATCAAAAAACAAAATTTTAACTGTAAGCATAGATACTGAACATATTATTATTTAAAAAACATGAGCCAGGCATACAGTTTTGAACACTTTCCAAACATTTCCATATAATATAAATTGCAAATAAAATGTACTGTTATATGATTAATATTAATTAATTATTAGTTTTATATATATATATGTATATAGTAGCTGATACCTTGCACTTTGTTGCCCGTTAAATATACCGACTCTATATGACTCAAACTTTGTTAAATTCGTTATTTAATATTCGGTTTATGGTGCTCAAAATTTATCTTAACTTTTCCGTGGCCCGGAATAAAAATTCTGATTCGCAGCAGTATAGTATCAGGTAGGCAAACCACCTGCGGTAGATCGCGGACACCGTGCTGTTTGTACGTAAGTGTATGATTTAACTCTAATGTATCAAAGTTATACCAAGTTTGTCGTATTCCACCTATGGTGGTATAATATAATCAATTAATACAAAATCCTAACCCAACTTAACCGTACTAATATATTAATGTTTATTAATAAACGATGCGGATGCAGGGGGAAGGACTATCTCCGCATGAAGTGCCCCCTTGTATCGCCGCGATTTACAAACAAAAAAAAAAAAAAATTATAAATAGCAATACCCAAGTGGAGAGGTTCGAATCCCTGTAGGGGTGGAATTATTTTTATTCTTTTTTTCGTTTTAAAATAATTAGTTCCATATTTTATGACAAATAATAACATCTATGTAACATTTAATAAATGTTACAAGTTGATTTGAAATGTTTATGAAACATTATATAGCACAATGGGATAATGTGACAACATAACATTATATGTATGTGATTTTCGATGTTACATAAGCATTACTTGAACACATTAGATTTAAAATGTTACTGCGATATTTCTATCTGATGGATAAGAAATAATTTCTGAATGACAGCAGTAATGAGCATTAGCAATCGCATACATATTACAATTACGTGATTTCAACTTAAAATGTGATGTTCCATGTTACCATGAAACATCGCTTGAATATCTATGGAATATGACTTTGCACACTGGGCACTAGCTTCCTCGCTCCGCTCAGAATCTAAAATATGTATTTATTTATGGTTTGGTCTATGTGGTAATTACAAATATTAATATTAAAAAAAAACTTTTCATTAAAAAAAAAAAAAAAGATATTATAATATCAACCCTACATTTAATTTTAGAATTTTGATAACTTGTCTCCTTTATGTTATTTAAAAACTTTTCAATTTCAACTATTCTTCTCAGTCATATAAATATGAACCTGGTAGTATATCAGTATCGGTTGACTCAGTATGGTCATTTTCATTGTCAAAAGAATTGTCATTTACATTTGATCCTATTAATGATAAAATCAATATTAAAAAACAAGTTTCGGTATATATTTTATGACTCATTCCTTCACGAAAAGATCTTGTTAAAGCCCCAAGAAGTGCTTTTGAGTAGTCACAAACCGTTTCATCGCAACTCGTGAATAGCATTCTTCTTCCAATTAGTAATCTAATTCCATGTGGTTAAAGTATCTTGTCTCTCTGATAACATTATCTATATGTAAAAATTACAGTCTTTAGTTTTTACTAAATTATCAATGTATTAGTAAAAAAGGTGGGTAAGTGGATGTCGCTCTCACGATAAGAAAAACGATTCTGAGCGAAGACGGTATGTCAGTCTAGGTTTAAGACAAATTATATACATATCTATGGTATTAAAAAAAAAAATTGACCTATAATAAATTCCAAATTAATCATATCACATTATCACAATATCAATTATGTACTTATAACACGTTATACATCAACATCAATAACAAACCCTGATACTATTATAGATATATAGTACACTTTAGAAGTTTCAAGTAGGTACCCACGAATAATATTATATAATCACAACAAAATAACTAGGTTATTTAATATGTAATTTCGTCCAAATTTGAACATAAAATGACTATAAAAATAAACTATGATTGTATATTTTTTAGATTTTTCGGTAAGAGAATTAACTACTTACGTGGAATCTTGTTTTAAATTTTCAATCCTTAGCTATAAAAAATAACAGATAAAATTTTATTGATATTCATAGAAAAAAAAACTAAAAAATTTGAAAAATGAAAATTTCCGTAAACTGCTCAAAAAGCTTTAAAATATTTTGAACATTTTATCAAGTATAAGAATTGATAATATAAACATTCAGTGAAATTTTCATGTATCTACAATTATTCGTTTTTGAAGTACAACAAAATAAGGAAATCGCTACATGAGAAATCGAGTGAACATCCAATGTTGTAAAAATTTGAATTTCAAACGATCATAAAAATTTAATTTAATAAAATCATAACTCAAAATAATTTGCTAATTTTCGTGATTTTTCCATATTTTGTCAATTTTTTAACTTTAAATGCTTATAAAAAAAAACTGTGACTAACGATTTTTAATATTTTTCATCTGCCTTTGAAACGATATACTAGGAGCCTCCTATTAAATTTTCAAGTTTTTTTAACCAACAAATAAAATTTTATTGATATTTCTAGAAAAAAAACTAAAAAAAAATGAAAAATGAAAATGTCCCTAAACAGTTCAAAATAAATCAAAATATTTTGAAAATGTTATCGTGTATAGAAAAGGCAAATATAAACAATCTGTCAAAATTTCATGTTCCTACAGTCATTTGTTTTAAAGTTACACCAAAAACCAAATTCGATTTTGTCAAAAACCGATTTTGCGTAAAAATTCCCGTTTTTCCTTAATTTTGATGTTGTTTTTCCCGGCGCTTGTGAAAACTATTGGGAATTTTAAATTTTGACCTCCCCAATGCACCAACGATATTCACTTTCCAATCGAACAAGATACTGAAGTAGAAAATCGAAGCATTATTTCGACTACTTATCGTGTACACAGACACAAAAAAAAAAATATAATATAATAGTTATAATAATTATATGCTCGCTCATGGAACAATGCCAAGCCTGTCCAGTCTATTTCGTTCCATTATTGACCTTAACCATGTTTTCAATTTTAAAAAGGTGGGTAAGTGGATGTCGCTCTGCTGTACAGTAGGTTACAAGTGGGTCACTGTATAATGGATGCTATTCAATTTGAATTCAATGATACAATATCATTGTATAAGAAAAACGATTCTGAGCGAAGACGGTATGTCAGTCTAGGTTTAAGACATATTATATACATATCTATGGTATAAAAAAAAAATTGACCTATAATAAATTCCAAATTAATCATATCACATTATCCATTAGGTACTTATAACACGTTATACATCAATAACAAACCCTGAGACTATCATAGATATATAATATAGTGTACTTTAGAAGTTTCAAGTACCCACGAATAGAATATCATAGGCGTGCGCAGACTTCAACTTCCGGTCGAGCCTGGATACAATTAGTGCCCCAATACTTATACTGTGCCCCTAATTTTTTTCTAACACTCCTTCATAGTAGATTCTGTTGTAAAATAAAAACAATGTAGTATTTATATCTATACATAGAATCAAGTATTTTACTGCTAATTTTTGGACATATATTTTAAGAGTACATATTTTACAAAGTAAAACTTTGAATTCTTTAACATCAAATGATATAAATACAATTAATAGTTATGTATAAAAAGAACAAAACACATTACCCAACATTTAAAAAAAAAGCTTGGTTTAATAAACAAAAATTCTTTATAGGTACTAAATTAATACATAAAGCATATATAATGTATACATGTGTAATTATGTATAATTTAAAAACAATTATAAATGAATTCTCCTATTTCCCATCATTTTGAATTCGTCAATCACCATGTCAATGTTAATACTAGATGTTAATTCTGATTCAGTAAACATTAATAATAAACTATTAAGTCGGTCTTGTTGCATAGTACTCCTTAATTTATTTTTTACTATTGTTAGTTTTGAAAATACCCGTTCGCAGGAACAACTTGTAACTGGTATTATACTGAATAATTTCAGTACGGTGAAAAATCCATTAAATGATTTTATGTAATTATTTGTTTTCATATAATCAAGCCATGCATGAATAGATTCATTATTAGTATTAGTATCTGGTTTACCATCAGTAGCTGGTAAATATTTTAATAGTTTTATCTCAGATTGTAATTTCTCTACCGGGACATTTGCAAAATTTGATAATATTGAAATCATTACAGGCGTAGTGTCTAGACGAATCATACTTGCTACAGCTTGAACTAATTGCACAATTTCTTGGTTAAACCTCGAGTTGATGCCAGAAATGAGTTCATCTAACAATTGGTTGTACACAGTTATTTTAAGTTCATTTTTTTTTGTTTTAAAAACAAATTGATTATTTGATGTTTTGTCTATTCGAGTTGACACTTTTCTATTTATTACTTCTGGTACTTGTACACCATTTTTATGACAAAGTTCTACTGACTGTTGATAAATATTTCTAAACTCTTCATCACTATTCCTCATAGCCATCAAGTTTTGTACTAAAGACTGTACACTGTTTACTGCTAGTACAAGATCCATGTTTGGCGACTGTAATAAAGAACTTGTCTTTAATATTATATTTAATATAGGATTCAATAAATACAGCCCAAAAATAAAGTCAAAACTTTTTAATTGATACTTCAAACCCATTCCTTTTGCACACATTTCTGGAACACTACTACTTTCACAAATTTCTTCTATGGCTAAAAGCAAAACTTCATAGTTATTAAGCACTGATTTGACTGCTTCTGCTCGACACGCCCAGCGAGTAATAGAACACGACTTTAATGTAAGTAACTTAATTCCTACATCTTTGGATATTTTTTCTAAAATTGCATGCCTCATTGCACTACTTTCAATAAAATTGTAGGTAAATTGTATAGTTCCAAAAAAATTGAATACTAATTTATTTCTTTTGGAGTTTTTGGATTTATCACATACTGAATCAACAAGTGCTAAGTTTAGACAGTGAGCATAACAGTGAATATATTTAATATTTGAATTTTGTTCTTTACATTTTGTCTGCACGCCTCCTATTTTACCAGCCATAGTTGAAGCACCATCAAAGCAAACTGATAAAACTGAATGCCAATCTTTTCCCATAAGTATCAATACATCATGAAGACAGTCAAAAATAGCCTGAGCTGTAACAGATTGCAATCGTTTCAATGTAATATAAGTTTCAACTGGTCTATTTTTTTTTCATCAAAATATCGAAAAACAATTGACAATTGTTCAAAATGACCAACATCTGTAGTCTCATCAGCCATTATTGATATGAACGAATTTTGTAGGTTGTTTTTTATATTTCGTAAAATAACATTTTTAATTGATGTTATTAAATCATTCTGTATTCTGTTACTTGTGTACAAAGCATTTTTTGGAGCCTCTTGTAAATGGTCTTGAAGAACAACATCATATTTTGTCAGTAAGATTACTAATTCCTTAAAAAGTCCTTGATTGCAACTATCAGATTTTTCATCATGACCACGAAATGGCCTACCACTCTTTCCTAAACAAATTATAATATCAATGATACGATTCATAAATTCTCTGTTTTTCAAACGATCTTTTTCTTTTCTACTAATTTCTTCAAGACGATTCTTATTGAGCACACAGTCAATTGACTTCAAATTAATAAAATCAGTTAATGCTTTTGCACTGTTTAAGTGACATTTGGATGATTGATGTTTTTTGAATGCATCAATAGCTCGATACCACGCTTTAAAACCATTACTACTAAATGTTGATTCACTGTAGCTGCTATTTATTTCATTACCTTTAAAGCAGCGACAAGGGAAACAAAATGCCTTGTCAGAAGCATCACTATACTCTAACCAATCAAAAATATCATACCAGTTTTTCTGAAATGACCTATTTTTAGAGTTTTGAAGTGACCGTGGATAAAGATCTAATATAGGCTTGTAACGTCCTTTCAAAATTCGATTTTGGAACTCTAAGCGATCTTTTGAAAATGGATTAACCGGATCATATACATTCACCATATTAACTTAAAACAAAAAAAATATAGTTAATAAATATATAATATAATTAATAAGCTACTAAAAATACATACCATCATCACTATATAGTTCCTTTTTTTCACTTTGTTTTGAACTGTTGAATATAGAATCTGTTGTATTTTCTGCACTAGCTGTTGACAGAAACATTAAAACCATAACAAAATTAAAATTTGTTAAATTGATTGTTTTATAATAAAAATACATACTATCATCACTATGTAGTTCCTTATTTTCACTTTTCTTTGAACTTTCGAATATGGAATCTGTTGTATTATCTGCACTAGCTGTTGACAGAAACATTAAAACCATATAAAAAATTTAAGTTTATTAAATTTATTGTTTTATAATAAAAATACATACCATCATCACTATGTAGTTCCTTATTTTCAATTTTCTTTGTGCTGTCAGATATAGAATCTGTTGTATTTTCTGCACTAGCTGTTGACAGAAACATTAAAACCACAACAAAATTAAAATTTGTTAAATTGATTGTTTTATAATAAAAATACATACTATCATCACTATGTAGTTCCTTATTTTCACTTTTCTTTGAACTTTCGAATATGGAATCTGTTGTATTATCTGCACTAGCTGTTGACAGAAACATTAAAACCATATAAAAAATTTAATTTTATTAAATTTATTGTTTTATAATAAAAATACATACCATCATCACTATGTAGTTCCTTATTTTCAATTTTCTTTGTGCTGTCAGATATAGAATCTGTTGTATTATCTGCACTAGCTGTTGACAGAAACATTAAAACCATATAAAAAATTTAAGTTTATTAAATTTATTGTTTTATAATAAAAATACATACCATCATCACTATATAGTTCCTTATTTTCAATTTTCTTTGTGCTGTCAGATATAGAATCTGTTGTATTTTCTGCACTAGCTGTTGACAGAATCATTAAAACCATATAAAAAATTTAAGTTTATTTAATGTATTGTTTTATAATAAAAATACATACCATCATCACTATGTAGTTCCTTATTTTCAATTTTCTTTGTGCTGTCAGATATAGAATCTGTTATATTTTCTGCACTAGCTGTTGACAGAAACAGAGTTATTGAGTTATGATTATTGATTATTATTATTATTATATTGTTATTATTATTATAAAAAAAATTTGTATATTATAATTTAAACTAATGTGTAATATAGGGTGTAATATGTTATATCCATTAATCCATTGAGATTTCTGGGGGGCTAAATTAACTAAAAAAAACTATAGGTATTTAAATATATAAGATTCTTATGCCAACTCAGTCAAAAAACTGAGGGGCAGTTGCCCGTAGTGCCCCTCTCCAAGATTACGCCTGTTCTATTATTTAAAATAACTCATTACATTAATTAAATTTTTCTGAGGTCTGAGTCTATCTAGACTCTTGATAAATTATTTATTTCTTACATTAATAACTATTAAGAAATTTATTAGGTACTTACAACTTTGAAAATTGGATGTGCTTGATGTAAAATAATTTTTTATTGAACATTTACTTTTAATTTTTAATAGTTCTGCTTCTTTACAGGCTTTACGTTTTCTCTTTTCACAACCACTTCGTTGACTTGACATATTAAAGTTCTTTGTTGAATACAATTTACATAACACCCGATGTATTAACAAGAATAATATTAAATATAATAAGGTCTGATACTCAGATCATATTATTTCGAGGCACTATAGTATAAAAATATTACAACGGTAAACACGGACACACGGTACACTGTCCACTGAACAGAAAAGTGACAAATCACAAATGACAACAGTAAACAGACCGATTAGATTATTGAGGGGACCGTTTATGGTGTTTCATTGAAACTTGAAAGCGAATAATTATAAACGCATGGGTTTTTCCGTGGAGCAGTGTGTATCATAGACCTATTAACAGATATCTGTTAATAGGTCTATGGTGTGTATGCGACATGCGTCCACGAGCGCTTGCTGGTGCAAGTCCGCATTCCGCTTATCTTAAAACGATTTGGGTACCTCGTATAATGTATATTAGAAAATAATCATTTATAATACCCACATAATATTTCGTACAGAATAAAATTGATCTAATGATAGCTAGGTAAACACAAAATATATTTCACAATCATGAAAAATAAAATTTTAATGATTTCCATGGGCATATTAAAATATATATAGACATTTTACTATGCCCCCAAAAAAGTTCCGGTCGAGCCGGGGCACACCCGGCTCGCCCCGTGCGCACGCCTATGAGTATTATACACTCACAACAAAATAACGAAAATAGGTATGCTAGGTTTTTTAATATGTAATTTCGTCCCAAATTTGAACTTAAAATGTCTGTAAAAAATAACTGTGTTCATATATTTTTTAGATTTTTTGGCTACAGTATGAACTATTTATGAAAATCTTTTTATTAAATTTGCAATCCTTAGCTATAAAAACTGAACATTTTATAATTTATTAATTACGATGATTGATAATTTTCGAGATTTTGATAAATTTTGTCAAAATGCGATCTTTAAATGCTTATAAAAAAAAATTGTGCCTATGTATTTTTAATATTTTTCAATTGCTATTGTAACAATATATTAGGAGCCTTGTATTAATTTTTTACACTTTTTGGCCCAACAGATAAAACTTTATTGATATTTATAGAAAAAAAAAACTAAAAAAATTGAAAACTGAAAATGTCCGTAAACGGCTCAAAAAAAAATCAAAATATTTTGAAAATGTTATCGTGTATAGAAAATGCAAATATAAACAACCACTGAAAATTTCATGTATCTACGGTCATTTGTTTTAAAGTTATAGCAAAAACCAAATTCAATTTTCTGAAAAATCAATTTTGCGTAAAAATTCCCGTTTTTCCTTAATTTTTCTTTTGTTTTTCTTGGCGCTTTTGAAAAGTACTGTGAATTTTAAATTTTGACCTCCCCAATGCACCAACGATATTCACTTTCCAATCGAACAAGATACTGAAGTCGAAAATCGAAGCATTATTTCGACTACTTATCGTGTACACAGACACAAAAAAATAAATAAAAAACACACATCATTGTAAAATCAATACATTCATCGTTTCACTCAGAATCTAAAATAAAGTATTATAATTTTTATAGGTCATACAAAATGAAAACATAATAATGTAAAATTGAATTAAAGAAATCATTTGAATCTTATAATAAATTAATTTTAATAACATAAGTATTATAGTTTAAAAAATTGTTAACTTACCATTTTAACTACGATGGGCGTCGATGTCACGATGTAATTAAATAAAAAAAAAAAAACTACCCACAAACTCTCAAAAATACAATTCAATTAAACCCAGGACTACAAGAACATGTGACTGCACTGGATTTCAAATGAGAACAGAATAACTTTGATTTTAATTTAATAATTGATCGAAAGTAATCCTTGTCTATGGGATATAGCGATCAAAGATTACATGGACAAAAATGTAAAAAATAAATGTTGGCGTAATGTAGCAGAATCCATGTAAACTGGAAACTGGTGTGAACTTTCGGACACCCAAAAAGACGAAAATGGTAATTATTACATTAATATAAGTTTTTTATACATTTAAATATTTAACATAGATGTCCCACAAATTACTACCAACATGCGTATTGCATGCGTTCTTGTCTTAACCTGTATAATAATGCTTATTGTATTATTATATTTAACTACAACTTAAATAAAAAAAATAATACACACAAATAAAATATGTATTAACATTTGTTTTATTTTTCTTCGCATGGTACGTATTATAATGATTAATAATATTAAAGTATTTTGGTAATTTAATTAATTATTTAAAATAACAACAAATATTGAGCAGTTAAATTATTTAGTAATAATTGTAAATTATGCATAAAAATAAAAATAAAAGTAATAACGAACAACCGAAATTAAAATTAACTGTAAATAAAAATACTATTTATATAGCGTAATAGATTAAAGTACTCGATTTCGAAATGGCAAGGCAATCTTTATGAACAAAATATTCCACATACGCTTCTCGTATTTCAATCCCATTGGACCGAGAACCCGTTTCTCTTACCTCGATGTCGTCTAAGTTGCATTCACTTTCCATATCTTCAAAATTATATCCATCTCTTTGTCGGACAAAGTTATGTAAGACGCAACAGGATTAGTAAAATTAGTCGACAAATTCGGGACTTACTAAAATAATAATATGTAATACTCCCCATTTGTTGGCAAGTACTCCAAAAGAACTTTCCTTTAAAATATTAGAATCTGATTCTTTACCGAAAGATCCTACATCAATGTCAATAAAACTCAAATGGGCATCAACTACTGCCATTAAAATTATTGAAAAATATTTTTTGTAGTTAAAAAAGAGTGAGCCTGTGTTTTTTGGATTTTGTATACGAATATGTTTCCCATCTACAGCACCAAGACAGTTTTGAAAATTGGTTTTTGTATAAAATTTATTTGATATTTCCAATCAATGTTTAGTAGTTGGTTCAGGCATTTCTTAATTTTGCAACGTGTTCCATATTGAAATACAAGTTTCTCGCACTATTTCACCAACAGAACTTTTGCCTATTTTAAAGTCAAAATATAACGCAGTAAACGTCATTCCAATTGATTGATATTCCTATTGTATAAAAATAATTAAATTACATATCGTTACACCTATAATGATAATAATTACTATATTTTAATTATGTAAAATATTTACTTTAATAGGCTCATGTTTCAATATTATATAGTATAATAAATACTTAGTTTTATATCGTTTAAAAAAAAAAAAATTAACTACAATCACTGTACTTCTCAGAATATTTGGAATTTAGAAATTATTCCGGTAATAAAGAATTATTATTATTATTATAGATTGTAATTTGTATTAATATAGTATTGTATAATATAAAATAATTTAAAATATAACGTAATAAAATTGCCATTTTATTCATTGTTGAAATATCTAATTTTATCCAAATTTGAACCAGGAATACCATCTATGAAAAATCTAATTTCGAAAAAATGTGCTCTCAAAACACTCATAAAAAAAGGTGCTCTGCTGTACACTAGGTTACAAGTGGGTCACTGTATAATGGATGGTATTAAATTTGAATTCAATGATATAATATCAATGTATATAAGAAAAACGATTCTGAGCGGAAACTGTATGTTAGTCTCTAGGTATAAGACCTAATATTATAATATATATAGTATTAAAAAAAAAGTTGACCTATAATAGGTAACTATAATAAATTCCAAATTAATCATATCACAATATCCATTAGGTACTTAAAACGCGTTATACATCAATAACAAACCATTAACCATAAAACCATAAAATGATCAAAAAAATTCATGCTGCTTTCAAAGTTCAACTTAAATAATTGGTCAACTGACACTGCTAATTTTAAGCTTTCTGCAGAAAATCTGTCGTTCGTGTTTAAAATTAAGCTATCTAGTACTACATAGTATCCATTAATGAGCCAAAATTCTTCTACAGAACAATTTGCATCATTTACATTTGCAGCAGATTCGAAACTAGTTGTTAAGTAGAAATTTTCGAATGAATTTGGTACAGTTTTTTTTCTTTTTTATCCTGTAAAACAATATTTGTGTGTTGATTTAAACTATTTAAGAAATATTATATTCACAGTAGTCATATCTTGAGATGGAATAACCAGTGAAATACTGTGTTTGTTAGCAAAGTTTTGTATTTCTAACCATAATTTGGTAAATTCTTCTCCACATCTTTTTTGTTCAAATGTTTTAATAACTCCTACTACTCTCGTTGAAGTATTTCCAAGCGTTGTTGATTTTTGCTGTAGTTGATTACTAAGCACATTTATAATCAGAGCCGTGTCAAGCAATTCAGCGTCCCGGGGCAATTTGGGCCATATGTAGCATATTAAGCTCAAATAAAAGCGCCCCCTTACTTTCACAAAATTATGGCGCCCGGGGACGATTGCCCGCTTTGCCCCCCCCCCCTTAATACGGCTCTGTTTATAATAACTAAAACTTGGTGTAGTATAAACAAGTAAATAATAAATGGTCCTTTTTTTAATGTGGCTAAAATACCTGGAAAAAAAGAATTTTGTATGAAATTATGATTTACAAAAAATAAGTAAACTATATTTATAACAATGCAGCAATGATAATAATATAATTATTATTCATACCTTTAATAATGGCTGCATATTTCCAGGTATCAAATTACCTAAATCAGTTGCATCAGTATCAGAACGTGATTCATTTTTGTCCCTAGTATCGATCAATGATGTATTCATATCAATAACATTAGATTTTCTGCTTCAACATGGTTCACCTTCAGTCAATTCAGGTTTATTATCATCTTTACTTGCAGTAAGTGTTAGGCCAACGCTAACATCAGTAAGCATTGAGTGAGATTCATTTTTTTCTTCAACTGTTATATTATTGTCACCAGTTGTACCTAACTATTTTCTTTTTCTTGAAAATGTCAAAAAACTTACTCATGGTTATTTAGTAAAAAATACACTGAAAATTGACTTAAAAAAATCACGTGGCCTAAAAACTGAAATAAGTTATACATGAGTTGTGCAATGGCCAATATAAATACTGCAAAACCTACAGCAACATCATACGCACTGCCGCACTGGAGACTGCAATACACGCCAATACTCGAAAACACTTTTATAAAATCAGAGCCCTTAATACCTTAATATAGTTAGAGCTCTATGTATAAAATAGTCATAGACTCATAGACCATGATACTTCATAGAGGCATAATAGAGATTCCATTATTCCAATAAATATTAAAATATATATTGCCTTGTATTAAATTTTCAAGCTTTTTTAACCAACAAATAAAATTTTATTGATATTTTTAGAAAAAAAACTAAAAAAAAAAATGTAAAATGAAAGAGTGCCTAAACAGTTCAAAATAAATCAAAATATTTTAAAAATGTTTTTGTCTATAGAAAATTCAAATATAAACAATCAGTGAAAATGTCATGTATCTACGGTCATAAGTTTTAAAGTTACACCAAAAACCAAATTCAATTTTGTGAAAAATCGATTTCGAGTAAAAATTCCCGTTTTTCCTTAATTTTTCTTTTGTTTTTCTTGGCGCTTTTGAAAATTACTGGGCATTTTTAATTTTGACCTCCTCAATGCACCAACGATATTCACTTTCCAATCGAACAAGATATTGAAGTTGAAAATCGAAGCATTATTTCGACTACTTATCGTGTACACAGACACAAAAAAAATGGATATTGTGATATGATTAATTTGGAATTTATTATAGGTAGAGTAACCTGGGGTATAATGGCGCACCTAACATTTAACAGCTGGTACCTATGTGATAGCATACAAGTTTTAGAAATATTGTTATATTGTTTTCCTATCATAAATATTACGTAGATTTAAATTTTCAGGTCAAAACTTAATTTTACCAAAGCAAATACCAAAAATTCTGAATAATTAGAAACTATAACAAATTCGTCTTTTTACCCCGTTATTGGGGTAAAAGTGCGCACCCCTAAATCCTAATGCGGTAATAGACTGCATGCTAAATTAATTCATAAAAATCTATTTTATTAAAGAATGTTATCTATTTTATTTTTATCAAATAATAAGTTATAAATATTTATAATATGCATGCATAATATAAAAGTTCCTAGTATAATATATAATTAATACAGTATTAGTAGTAAATACTAAGTTGAAGTAATTTTTTTAAGTATAATTATTCAATAAATATTACATAATATTATTTAATCATTTGTTAATACATCGTAGATATAATGTACCTATTAAGTATTAATTTAAATAAATTTATAAATAAATAGATATAATTAATTCAATTTCTAGCTAGAAAAATTAAATGTTTATAAAAGTAGGTAATCAATTATCATATAAGAAATACTGCGCACTCTTACCCCAAAACCCACTAAGCCATTTTACCCCAATATGATTTTCTGCATAAAGAGTATTGTAGTATATTCAGTTGTTATCATATTAATATTTTACTAGTATTGACGTTTAGTCACATACTTGTACTAAACGAATATATATAAATGAAACATCTAACAAATAGTACACATTACTACTTCTATACTACTCAAATTTTATATCAGACGAATACAATTAATATTTTACCTCATATTGCCGCCAAAACATCATCAATAGCTGAAAAAAACATAATCATAATAACAAAAATGTTTGACCAGATAGCAATTATTAAATTACTTATACACAATAGTTCATTTTGCCCCATGCGCCGTAATACCCCAGGTTAATCTATCTATTATAGGTCAATATTTTTTAAAGTACCTACCATATATTATATGTATATAATATGTCTTAAACCTAGACTGACATATCGTCTCCGCTCAGAATTGTTTTTCTTATTCAACGATATTATATCATTGAATTCAAATTTAACACCATCCATTACAGTGACTCACTTGTCTATTTATTGTTCATTTTAAATTAATTTGTTTAATTTCAGTTAAAGAACTTCGAGATAAGAAATGGAAAAATATTAAGGACAATTATAAAAAAAGCATAAGTGAAGAAAAAAATATGAGAAGTGGATATGCGGCACAGAAAAAAAAAACCATATGCTTTTATTGGGGCATTGTCGTTTTTACAGAATTGTTCGAAAAAAGAAAGTAGGTACTTACCTAAACATTATTAATTAATATTTTACTTGTATTAGTTATTTAACATATTTATTATTTACATATAATATGATATTAGTCTGGTTTTATTTAAGGATATATTTTTGATAGTTATAATTTTATTTTATTTACAGGACAACCAGTAGTATGCAGGAAGACGAAATTGACGTATGCAACGATGATTCTTTGGCTAATTATAGCTGTGTTGACGATAATGCTACAGAATGTGAGCCATCAACTTCATCGACTCTAAAACAACCATCGGAACATTCAAAGCAAAAAAAAAATCCAATGAAAACAATGGTTCTTTTCAACAAGAACTGCTTCATTTTGTATTTTAAAAATCTTGTGGTGAATAGTAATAAGCAGGCTTCATCTCAAACTAATCCAGTAATATCAAATCCATACAATCCTGTTGCTCAGTATTATAACTCTAACGCAGTCATATACAATCTTTTTATCCTTCACAAAATGCTCCAACTGATCCTATTACCCGACAGTTAACTTTTCCTCGGAATAATAAATTATGATTATTTAAACTACCCTCATAGTCAAAATTATTCTCCAAACGATCAAGAATAAACTATGTTTTTATTATACTTTTAAGTATCGAAGTTCAAGATGTTTTAGATGTATTGATGTGGTTTTTTTTTTTTATTTTTTTTTGTGTCTGTGTACACGATAAGTTGTGGAAATAATGCTTCAATTTTCAACTTCAGTATCTTGTTCGATTGGAAATTACCTAAAATACCATACTTTCATGTGGAGATATTTCACATACAAACGATTGTGGTAACGTCTGTTTTTTTTCTATTTTATCTAAGAACGAAATAGCGCCCGATAGTCGAAAAAATGTTAAAAATATGCCTCTGCTGCGATGAGGTAATGGATGTCGTAAACTCGCAATAACGTTATATACAATCTAATATTCTATTGTAGACGATGGTCGTTAAGTTATAACAATAGCATAATATAATGTAGCTTTTATACTACGTTTTGATTGAGTCTCCAATGCATAACGCGTTCTTATGTTTTGAACACGATTTCGGTATGAAGAATTAACGTTGAGAAAAGAAAAAGATTTATTTATTAAACGATTAAATCAGAACGATGTTATAAATTATATTATTAGGCTGATATTATAACATTTTCAACATCGTTATCACAATTATTTTTTATATATTTTTATTTTACATACGTGGTAAAACTTACCCCCTGTGATTTCTTTTTGTGGGGCTATGTCAAATCTAAAGTGTACGCTAACAAACCGCGTACCATTCAACAACTGTAAACGGAAATCTTACTCGTCATTTCCGACGTCACACCAGAAATCTGTGAGCGGGTTTTTATCAATTTCATCGAGCGCGTCAACACATGCCGACTTAGTGGAGGTGATCATATGTCAGATATTGTTTTCCACCAAAAAACCCAGCATTTGAAGACAATCTAATTAATATTTTAAATAACCGTCAAAAGTTCGATGCCGATACATCATTTGCACTCTACATAGTTCCACTCATAAAAAATTTAAGCTACGAGCAAAAAACTCTGGTGTACATAGATATTCTAAAAAGTATTCAGAAAGTTAAAGAACCCAAAATTTCTGACATTCAAACAACATCTAAACCTCCAAACTCTATTCAACCTTACGTAAGTATATATCCACATGCTTATGACCACCATTCAAATCCCACATACTCAAATATACCTCAATCTTATATAACTTCACCAGCTCTTCACCCAAACAACTCTATACATTATAATCACCCAAATTTCAATTCCATAACTCTTACATATTAGGTACCCTACGACTTCTACACCTAATCCATCAAATACCTCTATACCTTATCCATCAAATACTTCCGAATGTGAAATGCAAAATTTCAACATATCAAAAACACTTTAGCTCCTTTAGTTCTGTATATACTTTAAAAATAATAAAAATGTACAATATTGAAGGATCAAAGTATAATTACTATTATTATTTGTTTTATGTTCTTTTATTTTACTGTATTTAATATATTTTATATATATTTATTATATCTATGACTGAAGAAGATAAGTTGAAGATAGGTTTTTTATTATATATTTTAACAATACCTAAAATATTGTGGATATTTTACTATTAATTTAATACCACTAAGCTTCAGTGGACATACTATTATCATAAAGTCTTTAATAAAACTGTTTTTTACATTTATTACATTAGTTTATTTTATTATTTCCAACTTTTCTGCCACAGTATTTTGAAAAAAGTACTTATTGCTTTATAGATATCTACCGTCTACCGATTTTTCATTAGTGAGTTAGGTACAAAAATAAAGACACAATTAATTGTACAATATACATATATTAATACTTATTCAAATCGTAGCAATACTAATACAAACATGTACTTATATCATAATAAACATACAATGTATATAAAAAGCTACTGACAAATGACATTGGTTTGCCAGTCAAGCGCATGGTTTGTATCATTGACATATTGCACAAAGTACTCTTTGACATCTTTAGCATTGGTTGGAGAGTTTCCCATTCCTCTTCTTTCAGTTATGCTTTCCATGGAACTTTGGGTGTCTTCAGTGTTAAACCCATCACGCCGTCGCACAAAATTATGAAGTACACAGCAGGCTTTTGTAATTTTAATAGCAGGTTCTGGTTCTACAAGCATGCTGGTCTGGAAAACCTTTCACTTTTTTGACATAATACCCAAAGGAACATTTAATATACTGACGGGCTCTAGATAATCTGTAGTTAAATATTCTTCTCTGGTCATTTAAACATTTTTCTGGAAACGGTCTTAATAAATTTTTATGCAGAGCAAATGCTTCATCAGCCACTAACACAAATGGTTGTGGTACGCCAAGATTATCATTTGGTAAGCATTAATTTGCTGGAAAGTTTATTCTGTTGGTATAAAGTGTTTTGCCAAATGCAGATGTTTTGAAGAATGCAGTCACTCTCCTTCCCGTAAGAACCTACATCAATTACTCTAAAGCAGTAGTCATCAGAATTAATGAAAAAAAAAATGCTTACAATTGTAATACAATGATCCACTATTTTTCGGGCACTCAAGTCGTATATGTTTACCATCCACCTGTAATTAAAATTTGTGAAGTTAAAATATAAATATTTATTTTAAAAACAACATATCTTAAACGACTTGAATAGGCACAACTAGGACTACATTTTTTTTGTAATAGTATAGAACAGTTCAACATTTTTATTTTTTACTTATTTGATTAATTATTTATACAAATATTAAAAATGCCAGTATTTAGAGGATTTAAATTCTAGTTACCTATACATTTTTGTAAATTTATATTCTGAACGAAGTGATGAATGTATTGAATTTACAATGATGTGTTTTTTTTTTTATTATTTATTTTTGTGTCAGAGGATACAATTTGGATCAGTAATAGTGCTTCAATCTTAAAAATCAAGGGTGGTTTTGGGTGGCAATGTGATTTTATATTGTACTTTGAGGGGTCAAAAGTAAAAAATGTTCAATAGTTTTTTAATTAGTCTTTAAATTAGAGGAAAATGGTAATTTTTATACAAAACCAGTTTTCGACAAAATTGAATTTTTAATTTGACTGTTACTCAAAAACTATGAACTGTAGATACCTGAAATTTTTACCAAATGTTTATATTGGCATCATCCTTATACATGGTAAAATGTTTGAAAGATTTTTACTTTTTTGAGCTATTTGAAATTTGAAATTTTTCTTTTTTTTTTCTTAATGTCAATAAAAAAATATTAAAAATTTATTGAAAATTTAATACAAGGTTTCTCATAAGTTGTACTTATCGGCATTAAAAAAAATCAGAAATACCTAGTAAGTTTCAATTTTTTTATATTATCCTAGAAAGTTCAAATTTTTACAAAATATGATAAAATCGCAAAAATTTGAAGTTATTTTGAAGTTCAAAATGTATAAATTTTTTTGTATTCATTGATAAGAATTGATTAATATCTGATTAAAAATATAATTATACTTAGTTAAATAGTCTTATTACTCATATTAAAAGTCTGTGTTTAAATACTGTGTAAATAAAACTATTATATACAATATCTACTTGTGTTTAAGTTAAAATTTTAAGGAACATACTATTCGAAGTTGGATAAATTGTACACCTTTTAAATATAAAAGAGCATGGTAACTTGAACTTTTTATAAATTTCTTCAAATATTAAATCTGTCCACGTTCCTGGTTTTAAAACCCTATCATTTCTTTCCTTATTACCTTTACCATACTGTACATTTATAGGTTTCATTTTGAAATATGTATCATATGGAATGTCTAAATCTAACACGATATTTTTTTTTAGTTCTGAATCTGAATCTGTCTCATAGTCCGATGTAGTACTGCTTTCCGTATTCGATTCATATTTTGGATTACTATTTTCACAATCGTCATAAGATGTTTCTTGTGGAAAAAAAATTTTTCTTTAAATTATTCAAAATGTTGAATAGATTTTGAGACACAATCAAATATAAACTATAAGGTTTGACAACGTTGTTCATTTCATTGCTTATTTCAGTCCACGCTAGACTTCTATAATGCAATTTTCCATTAATAAACAAAGTTTTAACATACATTAATAACTTCTTTTCCAGCTCTACTGGGTTTACCAATAGTTTTCTTCCCATCTTAAGCAATTACAATGTATATATAACCTACGTAAAACAAAAATATATTACAAATGCAACAACAGAATGTTTAAAAGGAAAATAATCAAAAGAGATTTAGTAATTTGATTAAGGCATAACAAATTGTATTTAGAAATAATATAGTAAATAGATATGAGTTAAATATTAAAGGAGCTTACGAAGACATACCTAAAAAGGTAGCTCTTACCATTATAAAAATGACAAAAATTAATTAATACAAATTATAATAAATTAAAAAATATACATACAAATAATTAATACAATTTAATCAAGATTTATAATAAAATTGCCTCAAAATATAGATTAATATAATTTGAAAATTAATAAAAATAATAAAACAATTAATTAAAAACACCATTATATATAAATCTAATAATAGTATGAAATCTCAAGTCTTAAAATCTCAATTCGTTTTACTTAAATAACGTAACTTATTTTTTATTTAAAAAAATTGATTTAACTACTTTTGAAATTAATAAATATTTAAATGTTTTAACAAATCTGAAAAAATAAATCCTCAGCTCGATTTTTAATAATACGCATTAAGAAAAACTGATCAAAAATGTTAAAACTATTAATTAAATGAATGTATATCAATAGTTAATAAATATGACTTGTAAATAAAAATTAATTGGTAAAATCAGTTTTTAATAGGATAATTAATTATTATTACCTACTAGTAGTTATAGTATATTATAATAGTTATTTAATATTTTTATTAATTACATTTTGCAGTATCACTTCAAGTTAATATATTTAACTTAATATTATGTCAATTTTTTTATTATTTTTTTTTAACATATTATATTGTTAATAATTAGGTATACAAAGGTAGGTACATTAATTATGTTCATAATTTTTATGGGGCAAATTTATGCATGATTTTTGAGTCAATTTTGTTTTTTTTTAGTCATTTACTATCTTTTTATTAATAATCTTAATTATTCATTAAACTCAGTAGAAAACTTAGAAATCAAAAAAAAAAGTCAGGGATTCACTATTTAGTTGTAATTTAAAAATATTATTCGTGGGTATACATGAGATTTCTAGAGTAAATTATTGTATTGTATACACTATACACTATACAGTATTGTTGTACATTACACACAATGGTATTTTCCAATATACCTAATTTTATATTACCATTATTACTTCCAGTAGTTCTAGGTTGTATATACAACTACCATATGATCAGTGTTGGGGAAGTTACTTATTTTGGGTAATTAAATTACATTACTAATTACTAATCAAAATTGTAACTAAATTATTTTTAAGTTGGTTTTTTTTTTCATTTTGTCAAGTTACATTACTTTTGAGTTTTAAAAGTAACTCAATTAAAATGGAAGTTACTTTTTTTTTTTTTTTTAATATCACTGGAGCTTAATAACTATTTTTTCTATATGACAATAAGCAAACTAAATAATGACCATCAACAATATGAAATTATTAACAATTAATACTAATTTTGCTACACATTAAATATCAATCTTTATTTTTTAAATTTATTTTAAACAACAATGCGTTTTCAAAATTACAGTCACTAATTTTAGATCGCTTTTTAGTGCTTATATCTCCTGCTATGCTAAACAAACGTTCAGCAGAAGCACTTGAGGGTAAAGCAGTATTATATTTCAAAAAAATTAATCTCATTATTGGCATGTTTATTAAAATAGTTAAAAATCGTCCGCAGTAGTTGAAATTTTACTCATTAAAGTTTTTCTAGATAGACATAACCGATTTGGAAAATCTTTCTGAATGACAATTTTGAATTTTTCTTCTTCGACAATATTAAACGCATGGTTACCCATAATAACAAATTCAATTATCATAGAATCTAAATTTTATAATAAAATAAAAAAATATTCATTTCAAAGAAATAATTTTAAATATTAAGTTTCTACAAACCTTGACTAACTGGCTGAGCTCTTGAAAATGCATCATTGTTTATTGCACTTTTGCACTTTGGTCACAATCAAACTCATTATTGTTATGTTTATTAGTAGATTTTTCAATTTTTAAATCTGCTACAAGCTCTTTTACTTCGGAAGCATGTTTTGACTAAAACATATAATATGTTTTTATATTATTATTAAATTATATGTAAATTAGAATGTATTTTTTTTTAAATGTATGTAACAGTTAAAAGAAAAGGCACAAATCGACAATCGTTACCCCAAATTGTAAAGGTTTGTCCAAAATGACGATTTTCAGAAGAAAATACGCATTGAAAAAATTACACAATTTTAACTACCAACAGTAATTTTCTAGTTAATTTTGCTGTAAGAAATTATTGTTATGAGAATTGATAAAAATTTTTACATGGCAATTCTGCATTCACATAAAAATATTAAAATATTAAGATTTTCTCATTATTAATTACTTGCTTAGCATAATTGATTAAAATTGTATTTAAATAGAATATCTAGTTGGCAGTAAAATTATTTAAGTATTAAAGTATCTAGGTACTTACTGTTATATGTTTCTTTAAATTTGAATTACTCTTAGTAGAAGTAGAGTACATTTTAGAATTTACACACAGTTTACCCTTCACTTCAAAATTGTTGTCATTTACCGAAATTAACTTAAATAAATTGTTGTACCTACACAGACCATGGTAGCCGTAGCTCACGTAGGTACTAAACTTTCACTGTCTAATTCCATTTTATATACAAAAATGCACTTCAAAATTATAAAATCCAGTGATTCACGAATGTCGAATTGTCGAATAATCTAAAACTTAAATCGTAATGAACTAACGAGCCATGACTAATAAGTAATAGTCAATAGGTATCAGAAATTCATAAGATTAGATCGTCGACGGACGACGACAGACGATAGTCACCGATTAGAAGAAACGAATTTGTGGGTAATTATTACAATAAGCAATAAATAATAATTATTGAGGGGGACGAGGTGGCCGAGCGGTCTAACGCGTCGGCTGCGGCGCTGCCGGTCGCGGTTTCGATTCTCGACCACCGGGCGGCATTTTTCTCCGGGCAAGTCACGGTGTCCGGAAAACAAGTGCCGCCATCCCCCACTCCGGGGCATTGCAGAAACCTACGGGTGCCCCATTCGAAATTCTGCCAAAAAATACACCCGCGTGTAACACCCGTACCGTTCCAAAACCTACAGTACCAACCCCCCTCACAATGGCCTAAATTGCCGCGAGATAATTAAAAAAAAAAAAAAATATATATTATTATTATTATTATTGAGTTCCAACAACACTGTTGTACAAGCAGACGCCGATGTCGTGAGACTGCTGCGAGCGACCGCGGTGACACAACACAGAGCAAAGATAACAATTCCATTCTAAAAATAACACTTTATCCGATAAAGTTTATCATCAAATAGTAAATAGCTATAATAACAAAAGTATTTTAGTATCACAAGTTCAGAAAATTCTACTTATAAATTATAATAATTAGGTATATGATATATTTTAATATTTATACACTCATTATCAATACCTACGGGCTACGTTCTAAAAATGCATTAGTCCAAAAAAAAAGTAACGAGTAATTTAGTAAAAATTACTACAAAAAAGTACCTAACTTAAATTACATATAAATTACTTACAATAAAATGTAATTAAATTACCATCAAATTACTTAAAAAGTAATTTCGTTACAGTAACTTGTAACTTAAAATTTCAAACACTAACCGTATCCAACGCTTCCAATCCAAAAAGCTCCGAGCCATAACTAAAGCACCTTTCTACGTGTCCAACCAGACCTCACATAACGATCTTGCCATCTCACCCGTCTGTGATGTAGCTAGAACTTTTTATAGACGATTTAACTTATCTGTTAAAAACCATGATAATCCCCTAATTAAAGGACTTGCGTCGGAAAACATACCCGACAATCCTAGGAAAAGACTAAAAAGGCGGTGGTGTCGGGACCTATTAATTTAGTTAATTATCTAATCAGGGCCGGCGTTAGCTAATATTTGTGAGGGGTCGTGGTTAACGAAAGTGACGACTGAAATTCATGCATAATTATAAAACACTAAAAAAAAAATTTTTGCGACACTCAAAATGTCAAGTTTTTGTTTCGACAATTCCATACTATGTTGGAGCAAAAACTTATTATAAAATCTTGATAAATGCATGTTTTTATACATATTTTTCAATATTCACTATTAATTATGATATTGTTCCAGAGTAAAAATTCGTCAAACCGTTTATAAATAAAACAATAAAACTGATAATGTTTTTGTATCATATGATAAAGATTAAAGAATAAACAAAATCCTAGAGACATTTTTCAATAATTTAAATCACTATTTACCAACAATATTGCCTTTTTAGTTTTTACTTAGAGTTTTTGATCGAAGCTGATTTTTTAGTATCTCTATCTATTTTGATTTTAAATGAGCATCATAAAACAATAACTATTTTTTATAACAAATAAGTATTATAATATAGGTATTACATTTTACAAAATATCATTTAACATTTTCAGAATGTGCATTCCAAAAAAATACAAAAATTATAAAAAATGTATATATATAATAATTATATATTACACCGAAATTCTTCTTTCTTTTAACGATGCCATATTTGTCATTTCAATATTATCTAAAATGTCTTTCTCAGAATCAAGTATAATCAAATCATTTAATCGGGAACTGGTCATAGTAGTTCTTAAATGGTTTTTGATTAATTTTAGCTTGCTGAAACATCGTTAATTTGAAGCTGTGGTAACTGGTGATGTTAATGCCAAACCCAAACGACAAAGTTCATTAGCCATAGGAATTAAAGTCCTTAATTTGTTGGCTACATCCATGACATTAGCCAATGATTTCAAATTTTCAGTTTGTAGCCTTAATATATTTATCTCACATAATGCGCTATTGAAATCAGTTACATTAGACATGTCACAGTTTTTTTGGAAATAAGGAAAATGCTTTTTCTACATCTTTTACAGTTATATTTGAACTTATAGGCACCGATAATACTTTAAAAAGTGGTTGAATACAAACCAGACAAGATTTCAAATCTTCTGATGACAAACCGATTAATGTGTCCAGAACTTGAAGAAATTCTTTTCTGTAAAAGTCTTCATAAGTTAAGTTTACATGTGATTGTTGATTTGAATCAATTTTTTTTGGTTTTAATCTTTTTCTATGATGTTGATTAAAATCCCCATCAAAATCAATATCTAGTTTTAGACAAAATGATTTAGCACTGGCTATAAGTTCATTAATCAGTGTACTATTGTTTCTAGTTTCTGTAAGTAATTTAATTGAACTATCAATTAATATCAGTGCGTCTACTATATTAAGATCTTTGGTTTCCAATGTTTCAGTCAATATTTTCATTTGGTACATTATATGGTTCATAAAGTACAAACAAATGATAAAATCAATTGATAAACATTTCTTCTCAAGTCCTTATGCTTGAATTCTAGTTTTTTTATCAATAGTTGATTTTGTAGATATTTCATGTAAAACTGAAACAATTTCTTCAAAAGACAGCCAAACCGCCCGTAGAGATTCTGCCCTGGCAGTCCATCGGGTCTTAGACAAATTTCGAAGCTTCAAAGATCCTTCAATTTTTGATAGAGCTTTATCTAAAGTTATACTTCGTTTAGTACTTGAAGAGAAAAATACATATAAACTTTCTAAGGTGAAAAATAGGTCACAAACTATAACGATAACGGTGAGTGGTAAATACGTCCTGCCAACTGCCAAACGGTGACCGTTTGCTATCCGGGTTTCAGGAAATACGTTTATTTAGCCCGTATACATGACGTATAAAATACGTATTACATGACGTTTTTAATACAATAAATGTGAAATGTCGATATTAATTTTAGCTGCGGAGACACGGGCAAAAAATCATCACATTGGCCCATTAAACTTAAAATAGAACATATTTTTCCCACTATGGTTTATTTTCATTTTTTTTTTTTTTTTGTATTTTTATATTTTATACATATTTTTGTTGTATTTGACAATGTGTTAATGTGCCGACTGAAATATTAGGTTAAATGAGTGAGGGGTCGTGACGACCCCTTAAATCCCCCCTCGCTCCGGCCCTGTATCTAATCTTTATTTCTATTTATAACTTTATTGTTAACTTATTGAAATGTATATAAACAGCTGACAAAGTGTCTTCACTGGAAGGCTTCTTAAATCCGTCCTTTCCTCAAGCCACTTATTCAATTATCTATTTTACTTATTGTTCATTTTATTGTAACAGATTGTAAATAAAAATTATATAAAAAAAAAAAAAAAACTTGTAACTTAAATTAAGTTATTTCCCCAACACTGCATATGATATAAATGATATAATATATATTAAAAATCTAATTAGTAAAGTATATATATTACGTACAATAACTTATTACTTTGGGAGAACAGGATATTGGTCAATTCTGGAACCATTTCTTATACCAGTGGCGCAAACAGGATTTATTCAAGTTTTTCTGTTCTTTTCCTGAGTATATATATACATTTTATTTCTTAATAAACACAATTTGCCTGGTTTAAGGCCAATAAAAATAAAAAAAAAACATAATTATATTATTTAAATTATAGATTCTGAGCGAAGCGTTGAATGTATTGATTTTACGATAATGTGTGTTTTTTTTTTAATTTTTTCTTTATTTTTGTGCCTGTCATCATATTTTGGGGTAATAAAACTACTTCGATTTTCTTCAAGAGTATCTTGTTTGATGGGAAAAGGAATTTAATTGGTAACAGGAGGAAAATTTTAAAACTCTCAATAGCTTTCAAATACGCTGGGAAAAACAATATAAAAATTAAGGAAAAACGGGAATTTCGACAAAATCGAATTTGGTTTTTGGTGTAACATTTTTACTGGTTGTTTGTATTCACATTTTATATACAAGATAAAATTTTCTAAATATTTTGATTTGTTTTGAACTGTTTAGGAACATTTTCTGTTTCCAATTTTATTAGTTTTTTTTCTTTGAATGTCAATAAAACTTTATTTGTTGGATAAAAAAGCTTGAAAATTTAATGCAAGGCTCCTACTATATCGTTACAATCACATTTGAAAAACATTAAACATGTAGCGATTTTCCTATTTTGTTGTTATTCAAAAACGAATAACTGTAGAATGTAGATACATTAACATTTTTCTGGTTGCTTATATTTTCATTTTCTATACACCATAAAATGTTTAAAATATTTTAACTCTTTTTGAGCTGTTTACGGACATTGTAATAAAATTTTATTTGTTCTGTAAAAAAGCGTGAAAATTTAATGGAAGGCAACGCAATATAAAGAATACATAGGCACAGTTTTTTTTTATAACCATTTATACTTTGAATTTTGACAAAATTTATAAAATGTTTAACTTTTATAGCTAAGGATTGAAAATTTAAAACAAGTGTCCACGTAAATAGGCTTTATATAAATTACTTTATCAACAATAATATCATCAAATATACTTAGTAAAGTAGTGTTTCTCCTTCTATAAATATTAACCATTTAAATAACCATCATCTTAAAATGTCAGCTAGGGAAATGATGACTTTTGTTCACTTCTTTTCATTGATGGTTGAAGACTTGATACCAGAAAATGATGAAGTATGGGCATTTTTTTTAAATTTAACTCAAATTATTGATGCACTTTTATCATATAGTGTATGTGAACCAAATTTAATATTTTTAAGAAATCTAATTAAAAACCATAATCAGCAATACATTAATTTATTTCACGACTCATTAAAGTCAAAACACCATTTATTGACTCATTACCCTACAGTTATAAAACAATCAGGGCCTGCAAGCATTGGCGTAAATAGTGTTTGAAATTTGGGGGGGCTGAAGCTCAGTCTATACTTGAAACTCTTATGATGCTTTTAAATTATAGTAGTGAAATCATTAGTTTTTGGGGGGGCTATAGAAACTTCAAGGGGGGCTAAAGCCCCCTAGCCCCCCTCCTATTTGCGCCTATGCCTGCAAGACATTATTGGTGTTTTCGTTTCGAAGCTAAACATAAAGAGCTCAAGTTGTATGCTCATGCTACAACATCTCGTAGAAATATAACACTCACTCTCGCAAAAAAAATGCAAATTAAATTTGCTTATCAACTCATTTGTCCAAAATCCAAAAATGTAATTGTCAATAAAACTCATGAAGTTAGGAATAGTAAACAGTTAGAACTTATTCAGACTTTAGTTTCAAACCAACAATTTAAATGTTACACCCAAATTGACTTTAAAGGAACTCTTTATAAAACTAATTTTTATGTCACTAAGGTTACAGACAAATTACATCTTTATAAAATATTACAAATTATTATTTTTGATTCTGAGGAATACATGCTTGCTGTTTCTGCAAGACATTAAATTAAATTATTTGCATTCCCATTTTAATGCGTACGTGGTTGATGAAAATTTAACAGTGTTAAATAATATATGTGTTTATAAAATAGAAGACTTTAGCGGACCTCCTATAAACACTGTAAGATTAGTAAATGGTCAAATAATGATTCGACTCAAAGAGTATTATTAAAAGTGTATTATAATTATTATGTATATAAAATTTGCAATTATATTTTCTATTATTGTAATATATTTAGTAGTTAAGGTTAAAATTAAAATATAAAATAGTATAAAAGTTATATTTATAATATACTAATCATTTTTGTTAGGTGATAAATGTATGTATTCAAATAATACATTAAATAATTTATATCTTAATTAAATTACTATAGTTGAAAATAATGAGTACCCTCTATGAAAATGATGAATATGAATTGCCAATCAATTGTAATAATAGTAAATTGTATCAATTGTAATAATAAATTTCTTGGATATCAGCAACTATAATTTAAATCCTGAAAGTATATCACTTCATGAAAATTTGGAATATTTAAAAATCGACGAAAATGAATCATCAAAACTAATGACGCAGTTAAAAGAGTGGAATTTGAGCTTTTTATATCAAACTTGTGTTGGTAGGTATTAAGAAAATAAATTAATATTGTTTATAATAGTTTTAACTTAATTATTATTTTTAGATGCACTGGTTGATACAGAAGCATTTGAATACATTACACCTTCTCAATGTGACACTCTATTGGCAGGTTTTCCTTTTGGTATCCGAATAAAATTTATTGGGAAGTTGATGAAAACTCGGTCCACAAATAAGGATAGTCAAATAAATGTGTGTACATGTACACACAATAATAATAGAGATGGCCATTTAAAGGTGGCAGTTCATGGTACTACTACAGTTAATATCGATAAGCCTGTATTAAGTTTATGTGAGGTCCTTGGGTCTTCATATCAAGGATGCTTGGTGCTTGACCATTTCAAAAAAAAATGGTTTTTTAAATGATGCTAGTAGGACAATACTTGTTGACATAGTTATAAAAACAGCAATCAAAGAAAAAATAAACATGACAGTTAAAGTTGCTGAAGAAATGGCCGATCAAATTATTGCTGCATTTCCTAGTAAAGTCAAGGTATTGTATTCAATATTACTATTTGTTAATAATTTAAATTCATATAATTTTTTTATAGGATTATTATTTTATGAGAGATGGTCCAAAAGCACCAAAAGGTAAACTTTATGCCAAATACCATAATGTTATTAGAAGTCTCAAAAGTGGTGGACTTATTGAAAAAACTAAAAATACAGTAAAACCAATGAACTCTGGTTCCCAAACAAAACATTTTCAAATATCACCTAGCTAATTATTAGTTTTTGAAATTCATCCATTAATTTTTTCATTTCAGAAAGTGAAACTAATATTGACCATTATTTAAATAGTTTGAAACACGATAATTGTACGTTTAATGAGATTGAAGTTATATGGGCGGCTACAGTTAATACCAGATTGAATAGTATTAGAAAAAGTCAAAGTACCTCCGAAACATTACTATCTTGGCCTAGTTATAAGCTTCCAGCAGGATATAGATTGGTAAATGCTAAATAATTATATTATACCTATACAAACATTAAAAAAAAATTTTTCATCCTAGGTTGATATTGATTTTCTCACTGTTCAGCCTAATGCATCTAGTTTAATGACAGTATACCCTAATTATATTTCAAAACTTATCAAACTATTTAAATTCAAAATTAAAGATTCACAAAGTACTAAGCTAGTTGAAGATTTAAATGAAGAAAATGTTCTAACAGAAAGTAAATATTTTATGGCTTTTTATGATGTTCTTCATTGTAGAATATAAATAATTTTTAGATAGTCGAGATTGTTATGTATTTTACCTTCTGCATGCTCTATTCGTGCCAACATCCAAAAAAAACAACCCGTGATGACAAAGGACGAAAATCGCTCATTAAATATTCAATAAGAGATTCACAACAATCATTTATTACTTTTGCTG